TTTGTATATATAAAATGCAATGAAACAACTTTGTTCTTTTACTGAACCTAGTAAATAAAAAATATTCAGTTTTATTATCTAACTTATGTATGTATGTATGTACATAGTAGGCTTGTAAATTAATATTAAAACATATTTAAATGTAAAATTAACGGTATTTCAAATTGTCAAACTTCCAAGAATTTAATTTCGAAAAAACATTATAAATTTGCGTTATTTTAATATTATTAAAAACATATGTATTAAATTTTACGTATGTATTTACATATGTATGTATGTATGTATTTCTAAATACTAGATATTTAACATTAGATTTCATTTAACCAGATTTTAAGTAAATTTCATATTTTTTTAATCTCTCATCGGCTTCTGCGCGTAATGCGATTTCGGCTGTTTTTAATTCAAGTTCGTTTTTTAATGCAAATTTTTTCAACTTAAAATCATTACGCACTTTCTCTTTTTCTAACTTAAATTTTTCTCTTTCCATTTTAAGTTTTTCCCTTTCCAATTCTACTTGTTCTTTTTCTAATGCTAAATTCTGTACTTTATTGAAAACCATATTTTGCAATTGTTGCGCGCTATCAAACGGACTCTGCGAGGTTGAAGGTTGGGGACTTCCAAGCCAAAGCTTGATAAATTCCAAATTATTATCAATTAAATCGTTGTGATCACTAGCATGCGCATTATGAGTGGTTGTTGTTGTAGCTACACTATTGTGAGTGGGGGTTTGTGTAACTTCCATAATGGTCTGTCGCATTGTATGACTCTCCAAGGTGCTCCTATTGGCAATCGTTGTATTAAAATCGGATGAGGCCTGCGACGTTGAAGACTGCGGAACCGCAGCCTCAAACTTCAGCACTAATTTACCGTCATTTGAATGGTAGGAATCAGGCTCAGATATTGTGTCTGTTTCAATTGATTGGAAGTAGGCAGGTGCTAGTGCACTGTTCCTATTTCTTTGCCGATCTTGGTAGTTTCGTGAGCGGGCAGGTGCTTTCTTATTTCTTTGCTGCAGCATACCCAGATATTCATTAGGCGTTGAATCTTCACTTGTATCCCTCGAAAATTTAGCACTAACTTGATCGAGTACAATATCGGTCTGACGTTTTTTTCGAGCCCGATATTTCTTCATGTACGCCTTTCTCCATGCTCGTCGCGCTTCAATTCTAGCTTCGATGTTACCACGTTTGTTATTAGAATTTGTTTTTGATGTATTTGCTACCGCATTGAAATTATTTTGGAAATTCATCCCCAACGAGCAGAATAAAAGCTTACCTCTCTGGCTATAATGAAAGTAACGCAACGGAGTGAACTGTCACTTGTTATCTGTTGTATGGAAATGAATATGAATGGCTATAGTGCACGGGACAAAAGGTAACAAACGGAAGAATCTACCACCGTATATGAATTCGCCTAGAAAATCAACATAACTGAGGCGAATTTATACAAGGTGGTGGCAATCAGTAAAAGCAAAAACAACACATGTAAGGCGAAGAAATCAACTGGTCTAAGAATATCAACAAGGCGAATCTATAAAAGGTGGTGTTACCGGTGAAGTAGATTTTCGCTGCGGTTGTACCTAGGCGAATCTATACCAGGTACTGTTACCGGCGAATTCATCAAACAACCTCTGGAGCCGACAGCTTATCGACAGGCCTTGAACCGCATTCACAGAGAGGCAGTCTCGAGTTATGTAAACTCCCGACCTGTGAATGCCGTTCTGGGCACACAACCACCAGACGTGGACAAGACAGCACTTCGTCTGCCTCGGGAGACTCGGACCACAATAGCCCAACTGCGCTCTGGTTACTGCAGCAGGTTGAACTCATACCTTGAGCAGATTAAACGAGGATGTTTTTAACGATCGCCCGGCATGCGGAGAGTCGCCCCCTGACTCATAGCATCTCTTCGTTAAAATGCGACGAATAAGTTTCAACTAAAGGAATAAAAAAACTAACAACTAATAGTGTAATGTGTAGAGTAAATATAGACATAAACAAGTAATTTTTAGCAAAAAAAAAAACCGACTTCAACTCCCATATAAAAAAAATATATATATATATCTCATGATCCACTGATCGGATCTCAACCAGATTAGTATGGGACCACCTCTGAGACTAAGAGTAATCACTGTACGTATATTTCGGAAATTTGCAACAAATACCATATTTTCAACCGACATTATTATTAAATTAATGTCTTAAAGCAGCCGTTAATACCTTTTTTTTTATGTGCACAGATTTAGTAAACTAAATTTTTTTAATAAAGCGTGAACTGTTGTCTACAAGTGTGTATAAAAGGTTTTCGCTTCGATTCACGCGTTTGGGCACAGCAATCCAAAATCGTTGTACAAATTCATAAACAGTACCCAATTGTTTTACAATCATTTCGTATTTGTCGAACTTGGCTTTCGTGTTTAAACAATTTTGAACTTAACTTTCGAAACTTTTTCCAATTTCGAGTACGCGGACTTAAATCAATCGACGCGTTTTAGGCTAATAACAGTAAACCGAAAGCGGAAGTAAACCTTTTTAATCCATTCGAAAGTTATTTGCAAAAACCACTTTTAATGAATTTGACGGAGACTGCCTACCTAGAAAGCTCTGCGCAAAAATACTTCCGCCCCTCTTCACCGGCAACACAGAAAGCAGAATTCTACTTAGTAAGTAAGCAAAACGTTAAGTACCTGGAACAGAAATTACTGGCGTAAATGCGCGTCCATTGATACCCCTCTTGCCATTTTTAGGTACATTTAGGGCATGTTCGGAGCTAGGGGTGTTGAAATAAAATATGTAAATATTACCAAGCAGCTTGATAATTAAGCACCGGCATTTCAGAAAAAAATTAAAAATTTAGTTCTAACCTGTATTTGTGCAATTAATCGGCGAGTTGGAATCACAGATGCAATGTAAAGTTGAGTCGTAATGTAGCTTGCAGAAGTTGCAGGAAATAACCATCACGGTATACAAATAAACGAAAAATTTTCCGTCTCGAAAAATATCCTGGCAAAATGTTTGTAGAGATGGAAACTATACATCGACGTTAATTCATAAACATCGATTTTTTTTTTTTCTTAACTGGTCGCCTTCACCTGCTTGAAATTCTCAATTATACGGCGTTTATATGAGCCGATGTTACAGGAAACTTTAGAGCCCATTTCCACCAAGGGCTTAACTCAAGAATGATAGAATACAAGATTGCGCCGATTGCAGCAGAATTCGTGAGAGTAATTTTGGCGTGACGTCATCGTAGAGTTGACAACTGAGAGCGGCAAGAATGAGAGCGACTAGTGATGTGCTGAATTGTCCCCAATACTCGGTACCCAATAGTTAAAAAAGATTTCGATGCCCTATACTTCCTTTTCGGTATCCGATACCGATTATTTACATTAAACCCTCGCCATTATATGCATTTCAGGTTTAGAAAAAAATTTCATTACTAATTTATATGATATCGGCTAAAACACTTGAACTTATCGCCACAGAAAAATATTATTTTATCAGTTTTAACCTTAGTCGGTCCAAGGTTCAAGAAAAATACTTTGACTGATGAAGAAGCCTTTCAGGGGAGAGATTCTGTAGCCAGTTAGCGACAAGTTTCGGATCGATATCGCACTTGTTGACTTACAAATATTTGATATCAAACGTCGACAAAACCGATACCAATTCGAAAATTGTCGTTAACTGGTTACAGAATCTGTCCCAGGCCTACAAAAATGATATCGTCCGATTCAGCTGGAACAAAAATGCTTCAAACAAGTAAGGGTTTCTCTGTATTATGGTATCGAACCGGCATATATGTATCATTTTGAATCAGTAAAAAAGCTCTATTGGCTCTTACATTCGGGTTTTGTTAGGCGTTTTTTTCCATATTTTTGGCCTATGTGCGCTTTTATTCGAAACCTAAATGTTTCGGTACCGAGTATCGAGAGTATTGGGTACTTAAAAGTATTGACTCAGCACATCACTACTGCTGTCTTCTCTACTATGACGTCACCAAAACAGCTGATTCTGCCAAAATCACTGAGAGCCGAGTAGCGGTATCGTCATCGGCGCCACCTCTGTATTCTCTCCACCGTGGGCTTAACTGCATTTAAAACGGCGACCACGCCAACCGAATCACGTGGTTCGCTCTCTCAACCTGTTTACACGCCACATTCGTGATTCACTTTGCCACTCTGCTTCTTGTTCTTTGCTTTTGCTTAATGTTTAATGAACATTTCAAAAAATTTGCAGTGGTTAATTAGCTAAATCAAGTTTTAATGAATCTAGCTATTTTTTCAATGTTAGTGCTGGTGGGAATGTGTGTAGTTTTGACAGCCGTTATCGATAAAAATTAGAGAAGACAACGATTTGTTCTTGATTCGCTTGTTGATTGGATCTGAATCACCTACGAATGAAGTGATTCGCTCTCAAAATTGTGTATGACGAATAACGTGATTCGGTTCGTAATTGGGGCGCCAATCACGAATGAGAGAGCGAATTACGAATGGGAGAGCGAACCACTTGGCGTGGAAACATCGTTTAAGAGTTCAGACTCCCTTCGAGTTGTAATCTCCTTTTTCCAATAGCCATAAACTGTACTTAAACATGGTGGAAATGAACTATTAGAGGCGATAAGTTGAATAAAAAGCTGGCTGCGATTAGCTGATTGGCTGATCAGATCACATCAGGCGATTGTGGCCTTTAACAAGAAGTAGCCTAAAATACCATGTTCGGACCGACATCGAAAATATGTTTTCGTTGCTATAACTGGTTTTCGACCTAAAACTCGTGTTTTCGTCCACGTAAAATCTGTCATACGAAAACGATTGGGGAGCCCACAATCCCAAAACTCGTTTTCGTTGTCGGTACGAACATGGTATTAAATCGCCTATTGTAAACACCGTATTACTCTGCAGTTACACGGTCAAGAACTTGCTTTCACACATATTCCTTGTCAAAATTCATTTGAATTGACAGCTGTGACGTTGGTTGCACGTAACTTGATAGTCCGTTTCACTTTAAAGATATCGCCGCCAGGGAACCAAAAATTCTCGCCTCGTTTCCGTACTTAATTTATACTGCCTTCAGTAATCCAGACTATTTCTGACAAAATACTGTAGCACAAAGACAGACTGTAAGCAGCTGTTTGACTTGATTATCAAGTTGCCTCACTACTTAAAGTGAAAAAGCGATACATTGGCCCGTAGTCATAGTCAAAATAAAGTCGACTTTAAAGTTAGTTGCAGCTTTTTGACATAATTTTCAATGGGATATCTGTCAAAAAAGCTGCAACTAACTTTAAAGTCGACTTTATTTTGACTATGACTACGGGCCAATGTTTTTAAAATGGGTTTTACCGGCCGTCTTCACGTGCTCGAAAATGGACGTCGCCGACCTAAACGGTCAGACAGTGGCTGGGTATTCACGTCGATGGCGAACCAATTCCGACGATGAATAACATAATTGGGTCTGGCTACGCCCATATTTTTTTTAAATTTATCATCTTATTTTTCGTCCAAAAATCGTTGTAAATATCAATTTTGAGTGAATAAGCTTCAGTAGTTACTAAAATATCGCAGTTTTCGTATCTCTAAAAACTGTTGATGTATTTTCAATCTTTATACACTTAAAATAAAATTTGTGAAATCAAAATTCAATTTATTTTTGAGAGCAAATTTGATTGGTGAGAATTTTAATTACATGTATTTTTTCCGTGTTTGGTTGAATATTTCTCGGATTTGTGTGTATTCCGAGTACTGATTTGTTCTTCAGCGGCACGTAAAAAAATAAAGCTGACTTATCCTGCTACTGCAAAATATAAATTTTTATACTTATGAATGAAATTAGAAAACTAATAAATAAAAAATTTTAGTTTTATTAACTAACTTATGCACATATACTCGTTAATTACTATCAGAACTTAAAAATTAAAATTAAAGGGCTTGCAAATTCTTCAACTTCTAAGGATTGAATTTTGGCAAAGATTATAAACTTACGATATTTTTATAATATTCAAAATATCGCTAGCTTAGAGAGAAGATTTTCTGGATTTAACTTTTTATGAAAACTCCTATTTTGATACAGGAGGGCAGAGAAATTAAAAATGCATTGTTTCGAAAAAAAGTTGTCTCCTGCAAAACTATTAATATGGGACTTAGAAACTTTTGACTCTAATGCCGAATTCGCACTAGGAATTGAAATGACAAAAAATGTATGCCATTTAAAAAAAAATGCTATGTGGAAATGAACTTAATGACTATTTTTTAATGTAATGACACGATTTTTTTTATTGCCCGACTTTTTCATTTGTCATTTTTGCCATTTAATGCCTAGTGGAAATCCAGCATAAGCTAGCGATATATGTTTTTGGGTTTATGTGCTTACATACTACATATGTATTTCTAAATACCTATTTAAAAATCGGCCCTATCGCGACTTTCACATGAACAAATATTCCCAAAAATTATAAAGCAAAACAAAAAAAAAAATTCCAATTTGTTTTTGTTTTGCATCTTAAACTATGGGAACGATTTATTGACATGGAATTGCCGATAGGGCTGATTATTAATTAACAAGATTTTAAGTCAATTTCATATCTTTTTAATCTCTCATCGGCTTCCACGCGTAATGCAATTTCGACTTTTTTTAACTCAAATTCGTTTTGTAATGCTAATTTTTTCAGCTCAAAATCATTTCGCACTTTTTCTTTTTCTAGTTCTAATTTTTCTCTTTCTATTTTAAGCTTTTCACTTTCCAATTCTATTTTTTCCCTTTCCAATGTTGAGTTCTGTTCTTTAATCAACTGCGAATTTTGCAATGGTTGCGCAGTCTCACGTGGACTCAATTTAAAATTTATTGAGCGCTGTGACATTGAAGGTTGTGGACTGTCAGGCTCAAGCTTGATAAATTCCAAATTGTCGTCAATTAAACCGTTGCGATTGCTAGTGTCTGTATTTGGCGGAGTTGTTGTTGTTGTAGCTGCACTATTATCAGCGATGGTTTGTGTAGCTTCCATAATGCTCTGTGGCATTGTTTGAGTCTCCAAGGTGCTCCTGTTGACAATCGTTGTTGTAAAATCGGATGAGCTCTGCGATGTTGAATACTGTGGATCAGTAGCCTCATACTTCAGTACTAATTGAACGTCGTTTGAATCGTTGGAACTACTATCGAAAGTACTTGTTTTCAGCTCAACGTCTTGAGCGGTGTCATACACCACACTTGGTCTACCAATTTTGTTGTGGTTAAAAATAGCACCGAGTGTATCCCAAAAGGGCGATAACTTTTCAACATACTTCACGATATTACGCAATCTTTTGGAGTTGACCACCAATGTAGGGTCGATGCCTTTCTCTTTCCACTGTAAAGTCTCCAAGTACCATGCCCGTATGGCTTGCATCTTGTTTCGCAATGATGTCCAGGCAAAATTTTTTAGAATGGGCGCTTTGCTCTTGATTGTATTATAAAATATCTCTGATGTCGGTTTCTGAAAAGAAATACTATGTACATTAGACTGCATCACCAAAAAAAGTTGCGGTTTTCCGCCAGGAATGCAAAATCTATAATATTTGAAGACGTCCACCAAAATATTACGGAAAAATATGAAGATGTACGTGAACTGGACTGATTTGAAAATTCCTTCAAAAATGTTTTTTTTTATGAATAAAAATAATTTCCTAAAGAATTTTTTGAAAAAGAACCCCTCAGGTTACAAAACAGTTTAAGCTTAAAAAAATCTGCATACAAGTATTTAAAAATCTTTGCAACGGAATCGTAATAATGAAATTTTTGATGCCGTTTTTTAACATTTTTCAAATATTGGTTTAAGAAAACCTTGAATAACTGGGACACAACTATTCCGATTTAGACTTATGAGGTATCAGTGGAAAGGTATTTTCCCACTCTTTATTTCAGTGTGATCATTCCCGTCCCAATTTTTTTTAAAATACCAACACTTTTTAATTCTACTTGGTTTGAATGAAACTCGTTCATCCAACCATTCTCTTTCATACTTCGAATGAGTTTATTTGCGAAGAAATAAGAAGGGTGAGAAAATACCTTTCCAATGATACCTCACCAAGTCTAAATCGAAATAGTTCTGTTCCAGTTATTCAAGTTTTTCTTATACCAAACTTTGAAAAAACTGAAAATATAGCATCAAAAATCTCATTCTTACGATTCCGTTGATTTTTTTTGTGTGCAAATTTTCTATGCTCGGACTATTTTGTTATCGGAGAGGATTTTTTTTTTGTAATTCTTTAAGAAACTTTTTTTTATTTAAAAAACCTTCATTTTAACTTAGATTATGTAAACTGAGTTTAAATTGAACAGCTGGCTGACATTTACTTTAAACCACCAGACTGGCCCTCATTGTAGTAGTTTTCAAATTGTATCATACCTTTACGGAGTAATCTACTGACCTCCATACAAAGCTGAATTTAGAACTGAGTTAAGGCCTTTCAACGTAAAGGTAACGATACATATGTAATTATAACAAAATGGGCTTAAATGTTGACTTTTATTTTTTTCGCTCAAAGATAATAATTATTATTGAGTTTTATTTTTTCACTTAAGAATAATGATTATAAAAAATTAAAGCTAAACCACCGCGATTTCTGACGTATTCTTTTCAGAGGCAGCCACATCCTAATAAAAAGATTAAGACCTAAAAGTTTCAGGTTAAAATTTCAGGTAGTTGCGCATGTATGTATAGAACTCAACAATAATCATTATCACTGAGCGAAAAAATAAAAATTATAAAATAAGTATTATTTGTGATCGAGAATATATTCTTTAATTCTTTAAGTCTTTCTTTAAAATCATAAAAAAATTATTATTTGCTGATTTAAATTATTTTACTCATAATGATCACCGTCCCTGGTATGGATATTGACGTAATTTTTTTGTGCACGTACCGACATGTATATATGTATCCACATTGGGGTGGTCCTTAAATGTAGGAAGCAAATTTTTACATAAGATCTCCTAAGCCTCCACCCCTACGTCGATGCTAGTAGAGGAAACTGTACTTTGCCCTCTGTGCGACACGCTTTCCCCGTCTCCAATCGGGACCAAAGTTTATATGTGATATCTGTGACAGTGGTATTACCGATTCGAGATGGTGAGACCCAAAAAAAAAATCCTTCATTTGATTTTTTAAGGACCCCCCTAACGTGCATACATATGGATTAGCGTGGGCCGAAAATCCGCTTTTTTAGAAGTTTAGCAAAAATATGGTTCATGGTGCTCTAAAAACAATCTGTGTAAAAGATGACAATGTTTGCTCAACACCTTAAGACTGGTTTTCACTATGTAATGTTTTGACGTCAAAATTTGGCGACATATTTTGACACAACTTTATTTCCTTTATCCATACCTTCACCAGTAGTGAAAACCAGCCTTTAGGCTCGCCCAAGTCCATCAAAGTTCAATGTGCTCAAAAAACAAAAATTAATAAATGCATTAGTTAATAAATTTTTTTTACTAAGAATTTTTTTCAGCACGTGAACTTTGATGGACTAACGAGCCTAAGATATTGACAATCTTTCACACAGATTGTTTTATGGCATAATCAACCATATTTTTTCTATTACAAATCAAAATTCTAAAAAAGCGGATTTTCGGCCCACGCCAATATTCATGGAAGGGTGTATTTACCTCAAAGCACGCAGGTTGATCTTTCACTGTATCACATATTGTTTGCAGAAGCACTTGCGTTTGCTGATCAGTAAAATAATATTTGCGTTCAGCCAGTTTGCTTTTGAGTTCTCGAAGTTGCTCCTTAGTTGCTAAAAAAGAAAATAATTATTAAAAATTTTATAAAACTACTAGCAAACCCGCCACATTCATCTGTTAAGATTATGGTTTGGTAGTCATCTGCCGCTTTAAATAACCTAACGAAAGTGTTATGTCCGTGAAGAAGTTCTTGGACGGTTAATCGCAAAATTAAACAAATTTGAAGAAGTTTTTCGTCTCCACTCCCTGACGGCAACAATGATCCGGTTCTATAGTGAATCTGTCTCAGAAGCTGTATAGTATAGTTGGTGACAATTTCAAGATGGATGCGTATCATTGTTAAAAAGCTTAAACGCATAATAAAATTGGAAAATTACATCCATTGGGCCAATAATAAAACAGGAGAGCTCGATACACTCAATGGTGCAACAGGTCGATTTAATCTGACATTCAAGGCACCTTTTCTCACTTGGCGATTTTTAGTAATAACTCGACTCCAGCGCCACCTGGCAGCACTTTTTTGCAATAGTATTGCTCTTACCGTTACCAATACATATTGCCAAATCGGATCATAAATAGGATTTTTAGTAAAAACTCAACTACAAAAAAAGGCTTTCAAAATATATATTAGTATAGATAATGTATTGTAATCGATTGGTATTAATTAGGGAAGACAAAAATATGCAAACGCATATTATGACACACGATAAATATTTTGGCGAAAAAGCATAAAAATGCATAAACATGATTATTTCGGTAATAAGTTACTTAATTTTCGCATAATTTCATCTGACAATACCTTTTCGGAGATAGCCAGGGTTGCAGACAAGGTTTGTATAATTGACAAAAAGAAAAGGCTGACAAACAATTATTTTCTAGTAAACAATTTTAATATACCTTCTCGTGAAAATTTTTCGACTGTCGTTTTCCAACAGTGAATTTTTGTGCTAAACCGCTTTTGGTGGTTGAAAAATTCAATGAAAATGTTTCGTTTTTAGCGCAAGCTATTTAAAAGTTTCCAAATATGCTGCGAACCGAGCAGAGAGTTTTATTCTACATCTATTGTAACTTCTCAATATCAACAATAAAAATATTTTGTGTGAAGCAACACTTCAATAAAATGTTGCAATGTCACCCGCAGAATTGTCATTTTTTAAATTCTGTCCAAAAATGTCTTGTGGCGTAGAGCGTAAGGGTGGGTAACTCAGCAAATTTATAGGAGTTGACTCAATGACTCCAACTCACTTTAAGGAGTCAGCTCATTCAACTAACTCATTTGACTCTTTGTATGTTACACTCATTCGTATCGTAGACTCGTTTTGAGGCATAGATGCGGTATAGCGGCCGTTGAGATAAAACAAAACTTTAAAGTGGGCGTGGTCAGCTCCTTTCTACTGATTTGAAAGGTGTAATTTTTTTTGTGTGCAAATTAATAGGGCGGTGCTAGGGGGAGGGTAAAGGTGGAATTTTCAATATTTTCAAAAGCTTATATTTCGAAACCTATTGTACCGAATTTCAAAATGTGGATATGGTTGGAAAGGCAATTGATTTGATATGCACATCTTTATATATCATACATACATACATATTTCGAGAAAAACTAAAAAAAAAAACGAAATTATAAGAATTTGTGAGATTTGACACCCGCAATACAAAATACATGTGGTTGTTGTTGTTGTATTCTTGCCACCACCTTGTATAAATTCGCCTCGTGCAAAAACAAAATGCAAGACTTTGCCATGCTAAACACTGTGGCGAAGCGAGAGAGTTATATGGACAAATATGAGCCACTATGATTCAATTGATTCATGTGAGCCCTACGGCATCAACTGAGTTACTGAGTTACATTTTTTTTGGACAGGGAGTCTGAGTTACCGATTCACTTATAGGAATCAACTCAATAACTCAACTCTGAGTTGAGTTACCCACCTCTACTAGAGCGTTCATTTCCAATACATATATGTATGTATGTACGAAAATTTTTTATGTGATAATCGTAGAAGTTTTCGTTATACATATACATAAAGTTTTGGGGCATATATCAAACCTATTTTTAATATTTTGGAGTAATTTTGATGATCATATAATTAGTTTTTTTTTGCATATTTTTGTCTTCCCTAGTAATAATAATAAAAAATAAAAGATCTATCTTCACAGATCAGTGCCGTATCAGTTCAGTATCATTGCCAATCAGCATCGATCAGTGATACAAGTTCACACACAACTTTCAGTAAAATGAAGTTCAATGAAACCAAGATGACTTATTTTACTAATGATGAATTGGGAATTATTGCCAAATTATATAGTTCTGGATAATTCCGTACCAACTCGATTAATTTTCCCTCCATATCAATGATAACTTGCAATAAAATAACCTCAGCTAGTCAGTGAAATACACAAACATATCTTTGCCGAGTTAACTACTCTGTAAAAAAAATTTGTTTAAATTTAATGGGTAGATTATCGATAGCAATCGAATTCCAGTTGCGTTGCTAGTTGCCAAAAAGATATTACAGATGACAACTGGCAACTTTCAACTGACAACTGCAGTTGCTATAAAGTGTGTACACAGGCGACTACATTTTAGTGGTTGCTGGGAATGTTATTTAGGAGCGAAAATTGAAAAGTGTCATATATTTTACTTTTTAATAATTTGAACGATATTAACATTTGCAATGCAGTTTGCTTTTACAGAATATGGTGAAAATAACAAACCAATATCTTGAAATTTTAGTTCCCGTGGAGAACGCCCTTTTGGCGAAACAAAAGCGAACACTGATTGCAAATTTTTTCCTTTGTCAACTGAAGCACCTCTTTTAAAACTACCGACACACCCAGTTTTCCAAATTAAAGTCATTGCTGTGGCACTTCCTTCTGCGAAAAATCGAAGATGTGCGCAAGCTTTTATGAGCGGAGGTATTGAAGTTGAACGAAGTGGTTCATCTGTTTATTAATCAATTATACTACAGTTTCTTTTGGCAGTCCTCAATATGCTTTGAAAATTAAAACAAAACGATAACAAAAGAAAGCATTAACTTTTGCTTACAGTACACGCGGTAACTTTAGAGGATTGGAATTATCCTTTAAGTGTCGCCTGATTGAGGCCGCGTTCATGCATTTCTCTTCCTCCTAAACAAATATTTGTGATGAGTTTAGCTTTATTGCTGTCTTTTCTTTAAAGCTCTTTATTTTAATAATTTAATTTTACTCGCACAGCTTGTTTACAGCCGCTTGCTGATTGTTGAGATGTCAAATTTCGATGATAACTCTACAGCAACTGACGATAGTTGCCATTCGTAATACAAATTTTCTTTCCAGTTACTTTGTCAGCTGGCAACCGAACCGTGGTTGAGTTGCTATCCGTAATCGACCCATAAGCTTATTTAGAGAGGTAATACGCACTGTGAATTTGGCCCTTAGGGCCGTTAATTTAACTATTTTAATGTATAGTTAAACCATTAAACTTAACTACAAAAATTTCTATAGAATTTTCTTAGTGTTCACAATTACACAGTTTACACATAAAATGTTTAAAATTTGCTCTAAAAAATTTTGTTTAAATTAACGCATATTAAGAGAGGTAACCAGTTTCCTCTTCTACTGTGTGCAAATTTACACACTGTGTTAACAAAAAAAGTTCCTGTTTACTTTTACATACCAAATTTGTCGCGTAGAGGAAAACGTCTGCAATTTTAAACATTTCATGTTCAAAAATCCAGTCCTGATTTGGTTGAAAATAAACACTTTTCAGTAGTAGTTTTACATGTGTATACAAAAATTACGGAACGAACGCTGAAGCAGCACTGACGATAAAAAAACGGCACTGTGCCGGATGTGTCCGAACATTTTATTTGTGACTGAGGCAATGATATTATATTTACGACACTGATGTGAGTAGATAGACTTTCATTGTAAAAATCACCTGTATAATTTAGTTGATTTATTGCTTCTTCTCGCGCCGCGAATATCATTCTCCGTTTGCGGGCCATTGCCCTTGCGCCTCTCGATTTTCTTGATAAATTTTTTTTAGGTTTAGGCATTTTTAAACACTTCGCACTATTATGTTGTTTTAAAGATTTTTTTTTATATTTTCCCGTGTGCGGGTACGTCTAAATTGCTACCTAAATAGAGAAATATCCTAAATCACTGGAGTGTCGGTAATGCAGTGAATAGGAACAATTTAGATTTTTCCCCGCATACTTTTCAACCTAAACTGGAGTGTGAAATATAAATGGGCGCGCAATTAAACGAACAATTATTTTTTTAGAAGTTCTAAGTAATTTTTATATTTTCTATGGCCCAAAAAAAGAAAATATTTAGAAAAATGGTAGTAGTTATAATTATCTTTGATTTGGTAAAAGTTAAGAATAGAGCCCCGATGAGCTAAAAAAAAAGAAGTGGGAGCGGCTCGTCCCTTATTCTTGACTTTGATGGTATAAATTTTGTTTTGCTGCATATTACGAGGGGTGGGGGGGGGGGGGGGGGGGTTAATTTTCAATATTTTAAAAACTTTATTTTGAAAATTATTGAAGCGATTTTCAAAAGGTGGATATGGTTGGAAAGGTAATTGAAATACCTAATACATACATATTTCGAAAAAAAACGAGAGTATGACCTTTTTTAAATCAAAGTGTATGTTTTTCTTAAAAAAATACGCAATGAATTATAATTCGTCGGAATATTTATTTATTTACTTATTTATTTTGTTATGTATGTTACCGCATAACTTTGTACCACCTTACCCAATTTCGATAATTCTTTTTCTAACGGAAAGGTAGAGTCTCACAGGTGGTCCCTTGCTAATTTTGTTTAGATCCGATCATTTGATCATGAAAAAATTAACGGTACTCCTAAATTTTTATATGAGAGTTGAAGTCGGTTGTGTTTTTTGCTTTAACATTACTTGCATTTTTTATGTTTATTTTTTATTTATTTTATTAAATGTATAAACATTAGTACAATAAGATATACTCTTTTATAGTACAACAAACTACTAATTTAAATATAGACAAATGGAAAAGCAAAAAAAAAACAATAAAAACAAGTAAGAAAGTCTAAGTTCGGGCGGAGCCGAACATTAAATACCCGGCGCAAATATTAAATATGTTTTTTCACCTTTCCGAAACCTACCGCAGATGGTAAGCCGGGGTGTATCAATTTTGAGTAAATTAGCGTCCTTCAATTTCGAAATATTGAAGTTTCAAGCATTTCTGAAATTTACCGTTATATGAAAAGCGGCCGTAATTTTAATCCGATTTCAATAATTTTCAACGTTTGCTTTTATGTGGCAAGCACAATAACCACACCGAGTTTGGTACAAATTGGTAGAACGGTTACCGATATACATATATGTGATCATAAGTGGGCGGTGCCCCGCCCTTTTCCAAAATTTTACCATAAACGTATTTCTTGGTAAAGAATTGTTGCAAGCATCAATTTTGAATAAATTAGCTTTAATATTTACTGATTTATCGAAGATTTTGTATTTCTCTAAATTACCGTTATATGGGATGTGGGCGTGGTTATCGTCCAATTTTAAAAATTTTCGGCGATTTTGTATGCTGTATCAAGGCCAACAGCTGTGCCAAGTTTGGAAGAAATTGGTTACCAAGATATACACATGTCACCATAAGTGGGCGTGGCTAAGCGCATTTTCCAAAAATGTATAATATTCTTATTTTTCGTCTTAAAATTATTGTAAATATCAATTTTGAGTGAATTATCTTCTGTAGTTACTAAAATATCGCAGTTTTCGTATTTCTGCAAATTACCGTTATATGGGAAGTGGGCGTGGTTACAGTCCGATTTCGCCCATTTTCAATACCAACCTACCTTGGATAAATGGAAACCTACATACCAAATTTCGTTGAGATATCTCAATTTTTGCTCGAGTTATCGTGTACACGGACGGACGGACAGACAGACATGGCTTAATCGACTTCTCTATTCATTCTGAGCATTTATGTATACATTTGTCTATATCTATCTCGATTCGTTTTGGCTGTTACAAACAACCGTTATGTGAACAAAATTAATATACCCTTGTGCACAAGTGCGCTCGGGTATAAAAAGCTTATACTTCTTTTCACAGCAAAGCTACACTTTTTCCAAGTAAATTTGCCAAGAAGCAACACGGTGCCACTGCTAAGGGAGCGGTGCGAGAGAGACAACTGTCAGTTTATCGAGCCTTGTATTATTGAATCACGCATAGAGTGGAAAATTTTCGATGCAAAACATCGATATTTTCGATATTTTTCCGACATTCCTAGGGTTCGAAATTTCAGACTTTGGTATCGATGAGTACTCATTCTGGCATCGAGTCCATGGCATCGAAACTCTAAAAGTATCAGGGAAAAAGCATCGACACTACTCATTATCGCACCCATTATAATTAGGAATGTTCGATATTTAAGAAAGTATCGATATCATGAATCGATTTAATTCATTACATGTAAAATCGATATGACGATATATCGGGCTGAACAATATCGATATCGGAAAAATCGATGTTGAAAGTCCTACTCTCAATTGAATAGAATATTAGACCTGCTTATCAACTCAACTAATTGTGTTATTTCCATTTTGTATATTTACTAAGGATTAAAACAGCATGCTGGTCGACTCAAGCGGTTTGCCAAACCTAAGAGCTAAATAAATCACACAAGCTGTTGATTAAACCTACTTTAGTATTTTTCCATACACTTCTTTGTAGATGAAAAATAAATTTCAACTTAAATATCGATGTTTCAGGTAAAGTATCGATGTCTTCGATATATCGACCTTGGAACATCGATTAAAAAAATCGATTATCGTGCGATGAAATATCGATATTCAGAAAAATCGATACGATATCGAACATTCCTAATTATAATACGTTTTTTGGGATACTAAAATTATTTTATTCTTCCATCGTATATCTAGTTATTTTCTGAAATTAAAACAATAGAAATTTAAAAAATTTGATTTTTCCTTCATTGCAGAACTTACGTTTCACGCTAGAAGTAATTTTACGTTAAATGTACATACATACAGACATATATATATACTTTCACAAATTTCAAATTTTATTAACAATTTTTGAAAACTTTTTTGTCGCCTATTCAATTTTAGCATAATAATGAGCAAGTTTGAATTAAAAGTCAACGGTAGTAGGCTACACCTAAAGTTGAATAGGTTACAAAACTGCATACCCAAAAAGTTTCTAAAAATTCTGCAATTTCGTCAACTTTGCGTAAAGTTTTATGGCCTTATTCATAAATAATAAAAAAGGTTTATAAACTGAAAAATGTATGAAAATGTCATTTTATTAAGATCTTTAAACCTACTTTATTTTTTACGCATAAGGCTATTAAACCTTAACTTATTTGGTTTATGTTATGCAACAGACTATACGAAATTTCAGTTTATTTGGACAAAGTTGAATGATAGTAATCCATATAAGCAAGGAAAATTGGGTCGCCAATGGAAGAAAAAATTTTAAAGTGTGTTTTTTAAAAAGTAGCCGATACTAAGAGCCCTTTGCAAAGTATCGAGTAAAATCACCAAATAAGGTATCGAGTATTAAAGTACACATTTTATACCCTCGGTATCGATTCTTACTCAATATCGATAGGATCGTTCGAACCCTAGGCATTCATATTTCGCGTTGTGACGGTGGTGTCGAATATCTTTATCCTTAGATTTCTTTCCTTTCTCACTAATAATGACAAATTTCCTTTTTTTCTGTAAGGTAGCAATCAATAAACGGTCTTAATGGGTTTGTATGATGTTTAAGGACAGAAACGTTCTATTTCGATACGGCACTGAAAAGTTCGGCACAATGCTTTGTGATTTCAAACCACACCAAGTTTCGATTAACCTGAGTTACTTTACAAGCGCTTGCTACTCCTTAAATTTTTTACATATTTGTTTTAACAACTATTCACGTAAAAACGCTAAATATAATACATTAAACGTAAATACACCCACAAATAAACAAAACAGCGAAAACCCGCTGCCCAAACTGACAGCAAAAGTGTGATGCCTAGGAATGTCGAAAAAACATCGATCCATGGAAAATATCGATATTTTGTATCGATGTAGCAATTGCAGCATAACTTGCCGACTTCACCTGCATAAAAATCTGCGCATTTGAATACATACATAATCATTTGAAATTTATTAAATGGGTACACTTTGAAATGGAGACCCTCAATTCGGCGATCAAGAGTGGTACCATTGGAAAGCTGGAGTCCCCCACTTTGGAAATATACCTAATTTTAGGTGCAGTACCTTTTAATGGCCCCGTCAGGTACTTTGCGTACGTTCCGCTCAAATATGAAACTGACAGTTGAGTAGACTATGTGTTTGCATAGAGAGCGTCAGATTGGCAACCCTTGCGTCGGCGGACCCAACGAACGATGGCCAACACTCAACTTTTGACGCACGTAATGGGCTGTTTTTGCTTACGCGTAAAAGCACATTTAGCGCATTTAGCTCTAAATGCTACTCTAAATGTACATTTATCCATACAAAATTCGTCACCTAAGTGCATTTAAATGCAACTCCATTTTTGCATTAAGAATCTAAATGCTAAAAGCAACCCTGTGATCTTCCAAAATCTCCACGATTCGAACATGGTTTAATGAGAAAAAGTGGCAACATTGCATTTTCGAGTATACAGTGGCTAGCTGCGTTTCAGTGATCGCCGATCGAGATTTCATTTATTTTTTTAAATTATTTGGATAAGGGAAAGTTAAGAAGATCCAATATCGATGTGATGCTGATAGAAATCTGGATCAATTTGTAATCAATTCCGTTTGTTTTGTTTCCTAATTAAGTGAGTAAATTTTAATTGGCAGCCCCGACAAATTAAAATTTAAATTAAATAAGATTTCGAACTCGCGTAAATGTACATTTGCTAAATGCAATAGCATGAACGCTCTTCGAAAACATATGTTCGAAAGTGCTAAATGTTGCATTTTAAATGCAGCAAAAACGCTGCATAAGACCGATACGTTGTTTTATCAATCTTACCCACAACGTTGGCAAAATGTATCCTATGACTATTGTTACAATTACTGCGCCTGACACCCAAAACAAACATTGATTCGCCGTTTTCGGTTACTCAGTAACCCCCTATTATGAATTTTCATACTAGTTAAACGAGTTAAGAATGTCGTTTAACACAACGCAAGAATGCA